AGAGTTAGGATTAGGGTTAGGGTTAGGGTTAGGGTTAGGGGTAGGGTTAGGTTTAGGGTTAGAGTTAGGATTAGGGTTAGGGTTAGGGTTAGGGTTAGGGGTAGGGTTAGGTTTAGGGTTAGAGTTAGGATTAGGGTTAGGGTTAGGGTTAGGGTTAGGGGTAGGGTTAGGTTTAGGGTTAGGGTTAGGTTCAGGGTTAGGGTTAGGGTTAGGGTTATTACGTTGTTTTCGTGTTGTTTCTTGAAGGCGTGCTTTTGTCGGCACGCTGTTGTCGGCGCGCTGTTGTGGACGTGATTTTGACATCACGGTTTTCTCGCCTCGGTTTTGTTGGCGTGCTTTTGTCGTGCGCGCATTTGTCGGTGAACCATATCCTTCAGCTCAGATCCTTCACAAAACATCTATGCCCAGTTACTGTCAACCCTTTTAATGGTCATGCAATATATTTAACCAAATCAAGGGGGAAACTGTTTAGGTGCATTAGTTTCAAACAGCAAAGCTAGGTTACTGTTAACCATGGTTAAGCTTTGGGGCTTACCAAATTGTGCAAACATAGGTAAAGGTTCCCTTTTGCATATATGTGCTAGTCGTTCCCAACTCTTGGGGGCAGTGCTCATCTCCGTTTCAAAGCCGAAGAGCCAGCGCTGTCCGAAGACATCTCCGTGGTCATGTGGCCGGCACGACTCAACGCCAAAGGCGCACAGAACGCTGTTACTTTCCCACCAAAGGTGGTTCCTATTTTTCTACCTGCATTTTTTTACGTGCTTTCAAACTGCTAGGTTGGCAGAAGCTGGGACAAGTCACGGGAGCTCACTCCGTTACGTGGCGCTAGGGATTCGAACTGCCGAGCTGCCGACCTTTCTGATTGACAAGCTCAGTGTCTATTAGCCCCTGAGCCACGCCGTCCCTTGCAAACATGGAATTACAGATTAAGTTGATCACGAGATCCAACATGTCCAACACATCAAAGAAGCTAGGTTTGCACCACCCGCTGAGACCTCCCAGGATCTTCCAGTTACCTAAGATCCAACCGTCCTTGAAGGTTTACGCAAGAGATAAGTGTCTTTTGACCTCTGAAGACAAGTTAACACTTCTGAAATCCAGGGCCTTCTCTATGCTTGACTAGCCCTCCCTTCTGTGCATGGAAGGTGCCCTTTGGGCTTTGTTACATCAAGGCTCAAAGGCCAAGTATGTAAATAGAGGAACACCAACTCCCTGCAGTGGGGGGGAAGCCCAGTCAGTCACTTTTGTTCTGCTTGGAAAGCCCTCCCCACCCCACCCCACCCCCGAGCTGGGAATGGAAAAGTCCTCCAGAGGGACTTAAGGAAGGAACCTTGAATCATCTGAGGCTCCTCATCAGAGGTTTCCAACCATGGAGAACTCATCCTCCATGACGTTGATTACACAGGAGACACCTGGGTGGTTCTTTCTTGTTCCATCGAACTCCTCCAGGGGAGAGTTGTGTTTGTTTTGAGTCTTCCTCCATAACCCCAAAGCCTCATCTTCTACTTGATGTGGGCTGGAGAACCCCTGGTCTCCCTGCCCTTGAGAGAACCAAGTCTTGCAGAGGGTGGGATCCATTTCCCACACAGAGGAGAAGGTTAAACCCCTTTGAGATTGGAGGCCTCCTTGGCAAGTTGTTTGATGAGTTGTGGTGGCAGCAATATTGATCTGCACCAGTTCTGGGTAGCTGGGAATCACTGTTTTAAAAAGGGCTCACGATGCCCCCTGTTATCTGTTCAATGGAGGGCACCATGGGAAAATTGAAATGGTGGCCTTCAACCACCTTGAAAAGGAGCTTCTGACTGGACCAGTTGGGGTTATTTGACTAGCTATTCTGTCATCCAACCAACCCTCAATGCAACTTTCGACCCGCTACTGTCGGTTTGATTGTATGCGCGCCCCACACATGCCCCGCTGGGCACGCATGCTCAGTGCAATAAAAATTGTTCTGTGCATGCACAGAAGCAAAAAACAAGATGGCAGCACTTACGGCGCCACCCGGAGAACCAGTTCAGGGGCGTGGCAGGCCTGGGTCGCTGCTGGTTCCGGTGACCAAGGCCGCCAAACCACTACCGGTTTAACCGAACCAATCCGAACTGGTTGGAATTCACCCCTGCCTCAATGCAACTCATGTTCTCACATTACCCTTGAAGGCAAAGCAAGGATGTGTCACCTTAATCCTCATCAGCTGACATTTTGTTGGATATTATGTCGGGGTGAAATTCAGCAGGTTCTGACAGGTTCTGGAGAACCGGTAGCGGAAACTTTGAGCAGTTTAGAGAACCAGCAAAACCCACCTCTGGGTGGCTCCAGAGTGGGGAGGGAATGGGGATTTTACAGTATTCTTCCCCCGGCATGGAGAGGGAATGGGGATTTTGCAGCATCCTTCCCCTGGATTGGGGAGGGAATGGAGATTTTGCAGTATCCTTCCCCTGGAGTGGGGAGGGAATGGAGATTTTGCAGTATCCTTCCCCTGGAGTGAGGAGGGAATG